TAAAATGGAAAATCTTAAAATTTGTCCTGACCAAAGTTTGGTCAACCTTGGGGATTTTTCTAAAAATCTGTATTTGTGTGTTTCTTGCCCCTTAGGACTTATTTTCAGTGATGTTGCTGTATGTTTGGATTTCATCAATTACATTTTTGGGAATATTATCAAAACAAGAGCAATAGTTGCAAAAACTGTATACCCTAAACATAAACTAACAGAAGGAAGAATGCCCTTACTGTGAGTTTCCTCATCTTCCTATCATACTGAGGACATTTAGAAATACAAAAACTCCCCCACATATGCTAGTGAATGTCCACTTAGCCATTTAAACACACCAGCAGTCTCACACACACAGGTCTTGTGGTTTCTGTGCTATTGGGAGGGTTTTCAGGGGGAATTCCTTTAAACATGAAACCTACTGAAAATACGGCCGATAAGTGAAGAGAAACATTCACCATTCCAAGAGAACCAAGGCAATGGCAAACCCCTCCTTCACAATTCAAACTCTGACTATCAACTGACATCATGTCCTGTTAGATATCATGTTCCTCTCCACATCACCTGGAGGAGAGCAGGCACATACAGTCACACTCATGAACACACACCACACCGCTCAAGAGAGTCAATCTGCACCTGGCCCAGACACCTATGAGCTTAGTGAGGAGAAAGGCCAGTCTCACCATGTTTAGTCTGTTCTTCTGGCCTTTCAAAATGTGACAAGACCCATGAGGGGCTGAGGACTAGCTGAGGGGACTTACAGTGTCATGATAGATTCACAACTCTTCTTCTGTAGATGTATATTCAGTGGAATATTTACTCAGTCTCTGTCACTGTGATATACTGTAGGTAGAATTAGGCTTGGAAAAAGAACACGTTTGTAGTTTCATGTTTTTGGTTTTACGCACACAGTACCTGCTTTTAGAGCAGAACCTCAAACTGAAGCATTGGGCGATTTTAACTGTTTCAATCCAGCTGTCCTGCTGGAGGAGACTCTAAAAGGAGATTTTCAAATATATTAAATGCCATGGGTCGACACAATATACAAGGACAATTATGAAAATTGTCAAATTCAAACTTTTGAAAGTGCATTCAACTATTTTCTGTCGAAGCTTACGTGCACTTTGCAATTAGCATTTATTTTTAAATGGCATATTTAAGTAGCACAATATCTTCCTCTTGCAAAATCACACCAAGCATCACTTACGGTAAATATTCCTACATATTTGATAAATCATATACAGTATCTGTCATCCTGTTACTTAGAAAACCTCAGAACCAAACAATTGAAACTAGGGAGCGCATACCAAACAGTGTGTGTGTGATGGGGCTTTCCTTTGAACATATACGTGTATGTATGCACAGTCTTTTTTTTCTCTAGCTTTTAGGTTAGCTTAGTGGCAAAACCAATATCAGCTTCACACATTTTTATAGATGATTCACTTATATACAACTCGGTATTGTTTCGAATTTACGAAAATACAAAATCAGTGTTTCCCCTAGGATGGAGTCATAGCAGTGGTGCTAAGGCACCCCAGCAAAATGTGAGCGCGGAGCACGTGGAATTTCTTAGTGTGTGCGCGTTCGAAGTGCGCCCTGCCAATATGTTTCTATGTGTCTGCCAGCACAAGAAAGGCTCTTGAGGCCTAGTACATACAGTGGCAATGTCTCAAGATTTAGCAAAACACACCTTTATTGAACATACAGTAACACAAATACTACAAATCCACATGACAAACAATCAAAAATCAAAAAGGGTCGCCACTTATTATTATTTTAATATATATATATTTTTTGCGCTGCGCCGCCGCTATTTGTATATAGGGGAAAACACTGAAAATACATCAGTGTATAAAAATGACTACTTGTGCACTGCTGGTTTGCCAGGGATAATCTTTGCCTAATTTTAAGCCACATCATTTTGTAATTGCTCATTTATGTCAGACCAGAGGAAGACAAGAGACACCTGGTTTGAATATAATTACAATATCTGTGGTAATCAGACTGATAGATGTGTATCAGAAGAGGGCTGCTATGCAACAACTAGGTTAAATGGCTGAGCAGTGAAAAGAAGGATAGAAAGCGACGACAACACTGTTCCTTTTCGTTTCACAATACTTAGAACATACCATGTGACCAGGTGGATCACCACTTGAATCTCCCATTAACGTTTGAAATCAGTTGTCCAGAGTTAAAGGGCAGCTAAGGAGGAGAAGAAGTGGCCTAATAAGAGTGGACTAATACCCAGCCTAACATTGATGCAAAGATATACACACACAGACACACAAACGGACTGCCAGTAAACACTAACAAGTCCAGCAGCTCTTCCTGGAACAGCACCACGAAGCAGCTGTGAGTCCCAGCAGAGCCCGACTCTCCCACTCACTGGGCCTCTCACAGGCAAACACACACCCATGCCCTCACACACTGATATACATACACACACACTCTCACACAAAACCACACACACAGTTTTTATGTTGCTCATCAGCTTTCAGATGGGTTGCAGTTAACGGTAACAATGCTGCTTTTATATTCTAAAATTGATTAGTCATGGTATGAAAGATTGTGTAATTACAAATAAACTCAGATGTCAGACCTGTTCAAGACAATTTTTTAGATGAAGAATGTGCAACACTAAGATAAATCTAAGGTGGGTATGAGGGCAAATTCCAAATCATTAAACATTTTCAAATGTATTTTTCACAAGATGGTCACATTTGTAAATCAAACACTAACCCCAAATCCAAAAATCTGCTAAACCAGCAGGCGATGCCCAGAGAGTCATGTGATCCTTTTAACCATTTCCAACCCAACAATCTGAAGTAACTATATCCATCCAGAAAAGCATATATTCATAACTCCTCGGCTTGCAGTAATCCCTGATCTTACATTTGTTTTTGTCTCTGTGATTTAACCCCACTCTGACAATACTATCGCTGTGAGGACCACAATCTTTGCCCAAAAATAATTAATACTTTCTCACTCCACTGGATACAGAACCGTCACAATGACACGTGTTGGCCACAGCTCATGATGAATACAGACATGGCAGAGTTATACAAATATAATTTGAAAACATTAATTTTTAATAAAACCCTTAGACGTTAACAAAATCCTTAATCACAGTGATTTTGTTCTATTTGAACTTCAACTAACTCTTAAAGGTGGAGTATGTAATTTTGGAGAAAACAGCTCGAGTGCGCTAGAATTTGAAAGTACACAACCGGAAAAAATCTGCCTCTTCCTTCAGACTTCCTTACAGAGCCCCTCCTCCAACACACACGAACGCGCACATGACCAATGAGGGCACGAGATAAGTTTGTGCACAGATGGAAGGCTGACAGGCAGGTAGGCCATCCAGTTATTTTAGCCGGGCCGGTCGTGCTTTTTACAGTGCTACGGCTTCCACAGATGACATTTTTTTTAATGTATTTATTGTCAAAGCATTTAATATATTCATTGCTATCGGGATGTTAAGAGCATTCCATGGAATATAACAAAAAGTGTTTCTGAAATAAATTACATACCCCACCTTTAAGTTAACAAGAGCATTCAAATGGCATGTCTCAATCATGCTAACCTCAAAAAGGACGTGTTCTTCTGGTCAATGATCAAATTTAATCTTATTTAGCTTGTTACAATGTAATCTACGCATCCAACTCCTTAGTTATTTCTTTAAACTTCTCACAATTGCAACACACACACACAAATATGCTGATCACTCAAATTACACAAGCACACACATATGTATAAACACACCCTGTTACAAATACAGGTAGGATCTTCATACACCTCACTGTGCCTGCCATAGATGATCATTTAAAATACAAAAGCATCCAAATTTAAATAGTGTGCCCACTGAACTATGAAAACACCTACAACTCCCTGTTACTGGCACATACTCAACCACAATGATAACACACAATTTACCAAATGCTCTGGTATTTCCAGATCCTGCCAGTTTTCATGTTGACTCACAGTGATATGTGTCTTCCAAAGATAACACATCATACTGTAGCTCTGCAAACTGTTACAGATGTCTTCTTTGAGTTTCCCCTCTTTGTAACTTAATATTGGGGAAAACTTCATTAAACTAACTGAACCAACCAAACTTGTATAACTTAATCAAAAGTTTCCCTGCAGACCTTCACCCAAACTCCTTTTCAAGTTGTAAAACAGCATTGAACAGCATTGTTAATTAGGGTTGTATGCATCATCTAACACATTAATAATCTGCTTTATAATCCAGTATCTTGCAGTTTCATACTCCTTCTCTAAAAAAGCTAGTAAAGTATAGGCCTGTTCAGATTCTCCATCCTGTTGTATTGCTGCTTGTCGCATTCTTATGGGATTAGTTTTGTTTCATAAAGTTAAAGGAACACTTTCTCAGAATCAAGCAAAATTAAGAGTTTAAGAAAAAAAAAAAACGGAGTCAAGCAAAAATAAATGTAATTTCAAAAATAAAACTATAAATTGCAAACAAATCATTTGTGTAATCATGTAAACTATAAGTATTTTTTCTTTGTTTTAGCATATATTTTTTGTTTACTGTTCTCTTTGCTTATTTTTAAAGGATCAGACTTTTTCTCTCGCTGCAGCTCTTCTCATTTGCGCTCCCTTTTTGTTTTCGATTCTGACACAAACGTCCCAGGAAGGCGGGACTTTCAGGGGTGCGTCCTCCAGCGATTGTACAGTGCAGCTGCGGTGCGGTAGCTGAGCGTGGATAGAACACCCCCAGAAGAACCAGCATTTCAATTATTATAATATTACAAGTGAAAATATATGTATTGATCATTTGTGTTGTTTGTGCTGTACTATATGTCACTGGTGCATAACCCACCGGACGCGTCCCAGAAGCGTTTCATAAGCGTAGCGTCGTGCGTGCAGGCTCGCAGTTTTGTTATTGATTTGGGTTTACTTTGGGTATTAATTAACTTTAAAACATTAATATGTAGTTGTTACCTTCCACTCCACAAACTGCAGCGACTAAAAACCAGACCTTGTCCTTTCTGATGTTGTCCTTGTAGTAAGCATTGGTTACATCATATAAAATAGTGTGTTTTTCCACTTCCATGATGAAAACCTCGTCGTCCATTGTGCGTATCGTAGTGGAGGTGTTGTGATGAAGGAGGGGGGTCTGCTAAATTAGTATATGTGGGGGATGGGCCTGGCCCGGATGCTCACCTTTAGGGTTGAGGTGTTTATGGAGAAATCCTTTTTCTCGAATCGAGAATATAAAATGTTACCCTGGGAGATGGAGGCCATTGATTTGATTCCCCTCCAGGCTTCCCGAAGATCTCCACTGCTGTATTTGAGTTCCAACTTATCCCTATAAGCTATTTGAGCTTTTCTTATCTCATTTCTTAATTCTCTGTTAATTTNTGGACGTACCGTTTAAACCACTTTACTTAGCGAGAGCGCGTATGTTTTGGATTAGGCCAACCGGCTAACTCAAACATATCCAGGTTAGGTTGAACCAGTTTCATAGTACAGGCCTAGGCTGCATACCAACACAATTAGGAACATGCTCACATCTTACTATGTTGGTCTGAAGAGCTGAAGCATTCATACACAATGGATACAAACTGTTGTCTCATTCTATATCTTGTGAGAAAATGATATAGATTTAGCATTAAAAATGCGACATACTATTCCTGAGGAAGATATGAATAATCAACAGATTTGAATGGAATCTCTAACATTTTCATGTATAATAAAGACAAAAGAGTGATTATACAAATTACATTAATTGAAATTGGAACCAGAAGATGAAGTCTCAAAGAATGTTTTAAATAAAAGGACATAAAACAAAAAGGTGGATAATAATACAATCTATTAAATGTATATGTAACGACATTTGGTCAAATGAAATGACACTGAGCAAGTGATAACAGTAACGCCAGCGAGGATGAAGCTGGTGCAGGTCTCTCTTCATGCCCCCCCTCCGTGCTGTCCCCTCAGAGGAAGTGGGAAAACGGGATAAGACTCTGGACACCACGCTGTCTCAATGATCCACACTGTTAATATGAGAGGAAAATAAATGTTTTAGGAAATGAAAAATATGAAGTTAACAAATAAAACAGCTCAGGGGCATCATGGACGGTAGGTTTTAAAACTCAGCCTCCATTGATTTTCATATCAAATTAGCGTGCTAATAAAATAAGCTATCATGGCTTATACTTGCATATCTAAACAGAATCATGAAAGCCTGTTGGTAGAGTCAGGCACACGAGCCCGTTTGAGTGTGTGCGGCGGTGTCTGAACGCTCACTCACTGCTAGCTATGTAGCTAACTGTTAGGCTACTTAGCTAGCATTGTTATGAATCTTAAGGTAGCAAAAGGATCATGCTCTGATCTCAATGAACTGACGTCAACTGTCTCATTTTACATATAATTTTGTGTGGAGTCTAACATCCCTTGTAAATACATTACTGTCTTCCCTAATAATAAGCCGTGGGTCCCGAAGGAACTAAAGAGTGTTATAAATAGAAAGAAACTTATCTTTTATACTGGTGACAGTCTGGACAAAAAAGAAATTAACAGAGAATTAAGAAATGAGATAAGAAAAGCTNAATATTTTGATACCTGAACACACTGCTGCTGTTAAATAATTTCACAATTTGAGTTTGATAAAGTGTCTATTTATTTATTTTATAGATAAAAAAAACACAATGTGTTTTTTTTATCTATAAAATAAATAAATAGACACTTTATCAAACTCAAATTGTGAAATTATTTAACAGCAGCAGTGTGTTCAGGTATCAAAATATTTAAAGTTGGAATAAAGTATAAACTACACGACACAAGTATAATGCACAGCAATCCATAAGTTAAGTCCGCTATTTCCATGAAAACTCAAGAGACACCAAGGGTGTTTCTCAATCTCGAGTATGCTTGCTTGGTAGTACATGTCTTCCGAGCGTCTTGCTTCAGAACCGAGGCAAGAATACTTCCTGGCATTCGGAGAACGAAGAGTGGAACAGGCTAGCAAGTGTGCAGGTGTGCGTCATATGAGAGGCCCCGCCTTACATTTTCCGCCACAGATTTGGGGAAATTGGTCCGTGCGCAAAGCATTGTGGGAACCCCCCGGGAGCAGTCCAACCTCGGCACCCTGCTGGGACTGGACTCTGCTTCCTCTGTGCAGAACATCTCCAACTCTGATCATCACTCACACTGACAGACTAAAACTGGACCTTTAACGCACACATTTTAATTGAATAAGAACTGAAGCTACAGTATTCACTAGTGATGGGCAAATAAAGCTTTTTGTGAAGTATCGAACCACTTGGACAATTGTTTCAAAAATAGGTTAATTTCCCAAAGCTTCAGTTACTGCGACCTCTCCTGGCGAAGTGCAAGGCTGCAGTTGGTTTAACGTAGCCTATCTTTGCTTTGAAAAATATTCGATGCACGCACACACTAAGACTGAATATCATGATCTATTTGCAATTAAAGATTGATAATTGTGTGTAATAATAATAATAATGATAATGGGTTTAATTTATAACGCACTTCATATCTGAGTTCAGATCCCGAAGTGCTACAAGCATTTAGCATGGAACAAAATAACAGTAGGCCTACACAACACGGTAGAATTAATAAAAAGTAGTAAAAAACAAACCAAAAAATAAATAAATAAAAGGGTTGTAATAAATAAGATAAAAGGTCTAAGAAAAGGCTCTATTGAACAGATGGGTTTTGAGGCCTTTTTTAAAAGCCTCCACGGTCTGTGGTGCTCTCATGTGCTCGGGGAGAGCATTCCACAGTCTGGGAGCAGCCGAGCAGAAAGCCCGGTCTCCCATAGTACGGAGCTTGGTCCTGGGGGGTTTGATGAGGTTGGTTTTGCTGGAGCGGGAGGTCCGCAAGGAAGTATGAGGGGTGAGGAGTTCCTTGAGGTAGGGGGGCAGTTCCATGGATACATGTATTGGGTTATTGAGACGAGTGCTAAAAAATGCAACCCGATATCACGTGGACATGTGAAGATTTACCCTGC